GATCAACTATGTCTGAATTGAGATGCTCTTCACTGATATTTGAGGATTTCAATTCACATTGTGCTTCCTCCTCTTTTGGAAGATCAACTATGTCTGAATTGAGATGCTCTTCACTGATATTTGAGGATTTCAATTCACACTGTTCTTTCTCCTCTTTTGTAAGACCAACTATATCTGAATCGAGCTGCTCTTCACTGGTGTTTGAGGATTTCAATTCACAATGTACTTCCTCTTCTTTTGGAAGATCAACTACATCTTTCTCCTGTTTTTCAGAAGTTGGATGGACCACCGCATTTCTCCCATTGAAGTCTTCACTTTCCATAATTCAAGCAAATAAGGCCAAGCTTGGACTTTAATTTAAGGATACATGGGCTCTGAAAATTTAATCAGCCTGCAGTGTTTAATTATGTCAAGCTAGTGAGATATTTCCACAGTCCTGCAAAAAAAAACGTGTATTAAGGCATAAACCCACGGAAGTAGACTAACATCAAGCATTTAATTTAAGATTTTGAGCCACGTTTAAACTCATTTGGAAACACAAAAGTTGACAGAAATTTAGGTGGATTTTTTAGATTTGGTTGTAACTTTAAGAAAGCACAAGCACCCTTGATAGAAAAAATAAAAATGTTATCTACATAGTTTTAGTATTATTTCTTACTGTCTTCATTTCAATAACCTCTTTGTTATCTCTGTTATATATCTATTTATCCATTTTTGTTCTCTCTATTTTATTCCCAAATTCTTGGTTCCTTATTATTTTTTTCCATCTTCCTTCTTTGGAAAATGGAAAGGAAAACCAGAATGTCAATTATTTCCAGCAAAATTTTAATCCTTCCCTAGCATTTCTGAGAATATCCCACCAGAAGGCCTTTAAAATTCAGTGTATAATGATGCTAGGCATATTCAAAATACATAGGGAGTAATTGTTTGCTCACGTCATAATTTCTATATTAATTTGAATCCGATGTAATAGTTGGGACTTGGGAGAGTTAATTGGATAAATTTGAAAAAATAAAAAATAATAATAAATAACATTTTTTATTCAAAAATAATAACATTTTTTCAGAACTCTAGACATCGACGATCTTTTTAGTATTTGATATAAATAATAAGTTAAGGACAAAAATAATTCTGACAAGATTCAGAGATCCATGTTTTAAAACTTTAACAGTTCAACACGTGGTAGTCAATTATATCTATCTAAATAAATGAAAACATGGGGATTTATTGTTTACTTTCTTCATAAGAGTTCTATATTAAGTGGAGAAATAACATTTATGGCAGTTATACAGCTTTAACATAGAAGAATAGTTTTAACAGTTTTTCTTAGAAATGTGGATATTTGTGGTGTTTTTTAACGATTCAAACGAAGTATTCATGAAGGATAGCAAGAATTCCCAACGAGGTCCACACTCCACAGACTTTTAATTTTTGAACACTTCAACACAGTTGCTAATTCGCTTCGTAAATGAATACACGAAGCAATTAGCGATTAGCAAGAAAGTTAATGCAGCCTAGTCCTTTTTCATGGAACCGACAAAAGGTTGTTTTCTTTTTCTTTTTCTTTTTTAGTTAAAAGATTGATCAAACAAATAAATGTCAAATAAGCAGGAGAATAAACAGAAACCAGATGAAAAATTCAACTCTAAACGGATGGGAGGAAAACGTAGCCAATCAACGAATCACACCTCATCCTTTACTTCTCTCATAAAAATGGAAGTCATGAAAGCAAGCTTCAGGTGTCTCTCACTCTCTCCCCTAAAATGGCTCAAAAAATAAAATGAAATGGCAATTAAAAATCCAAAACCCAAAGATTGCGATGCGAGATACAGTAAAAACTAAAAGGCAATTATAAGAGAGGAAATCAAAATGACATCGAAACCGGAAGCGAAGCAGCAAAAGCAAAACATAAATAAATAAATAAACCATCAAACACGAATATGAAATATCATAATAAGAAGGCGTTGATCTCCAACGCGGATGTTCCGAAACCGTAACTTTATGAAGACATGAAAAGCATACATCAGAACCAGCTCCATTGGGGTTTCTACAACCTAATTTATAGAAACACTGCGAAGAAACATAAAGATCAATGTAACCAAGCGTCTGGAAACAAATTCAAATAGTAACATGGGAGAAACCAGCGGATCTAACGGAAACAATGCAATATTCGATAAAATGGTAGAGCTCCAGAAGAAGAGAGAAACAAAATATTGAAGATCTGAAGAAACATAACTTACAGAGAGAATTCTCGAAGAACAACTCGGATCAAATAGAAATAATCCGAGATGGTTGATGGTAACAGACGAACATGGAAAGCGGGAACTCCACAGGTGAAATGCATGCACGGATCATCAACTGATCAAGAGTTAAGAGTTGAGACTTAAGACCCTTTTATAGGTTTATATATTTTTGGAAAAATGCTAAAAGACCCTTTATCTTTCTAGATATACAAATTAGGTCCCATATGTAAATGAAATAATGCCCATGGGTCCTCTCACTCCTAGCCACGTAACGTGGCCAACGTTGGGCCCAATGCCGGTCTCGGTCTATTTACTATTTTGGGTTCCTATTGTGTAATTGTGTTGTGTAGAGAGCAGAGATCTGGCCATCTCATCAACCCCTAAGAATTGGGATCTGCTCACAATAAAAACTGTGCCAACATGCTTCCAAATCTGCACATCTCACCATGATCAGACTGGACCCATCATGTCTGCAATGTGTGGATACAGATCATGTTGGAATAAGTGGGAACAGTTTTCTGTTGTGAGCAGGTTGCCCAACCCACAAATGATGACCAGGTCACTCGTCACTCGGTGAAGTTGTAACTTTGCCATGCTGTCAGTATTCCATCATCCTAGAGAATTAGGATTTTGCTTTCACAAAATCCAAACTCATACTAACCTCACAGCCATTGCAGTCAAGCATTGAGAATATCTCCCAAAAAAATCATACAAAGCCCGAAGATGTTCCCAATGCACGGCTGAAAGGCTGTGGGAACAGATTTTGTGAGTAGGGAATTCTTATTCTATCTATCATAGAAGATTCTCATATGATATGACCACGGTACAAAGTATTGGACGTATTATATGGTATCTTCCGCTGAGTATATGCCTATTTTAATATAATTTTAATTTTTAAGACATCCTTTTCTGAATAATAAATAATATAAAAATGGCTTCATGTGAAATTTTAATAAGAAAATAAAAAAGGAAGGTTACAAGTATCCATATACCCAATTAAACATATGGAGAATGACGGTTCATCCCAGCATCAGAATTCTTAGGCTCAAGTGCCCAATGTACAATTGGGGTAGATGTCAGTTCGGAATTGATGCTAATTCATGGGCAGGCATTGGTGTATGGGTTGGAGGTATTTGACATTTTGAATTTTTGTAGGTCTGCAGTGGAATTAAGAATTCTGCAGTGAGTTGTCGCATACTTTTCCATTAAACATATAGGGGTAATATGCAAAATGGAGTGAATCATATTGGATATTGGATATGTGTATTCAAATTTGAATTATTTATATTCAATTTTGAATCATATCAGATCAGATCCATTAAATCCGAATTGACTTCATATTGTAATCGAATATTGTTAATAAATAAAGGATATATTGCTGAAATCTCCCCTAAAGTTTTCAACCATTGCTAAAACCTTTCCTGATGTTTGGTAATTGCAATCACCTCCCCTCAAATTTGTGACATAGTAGCAAGTCGACCCCCTTGTAAGAATCTTCTAACAAGAGGCACAAAAATGCCCAAAATACCCATACAGTTACTATTGAGGCTGGTTTCTATTGAAAAAATGAATAGAAATTTTATAAACAAAAAAATAGAGAATTCAAAATTGCAACTTTACTTTTGAATGATTGATATGAAGGGCAAATTTGAAAAATAAATCAATTTCAAAAAACAGATTGAAAGGGTTTGTGCTAGTGATTCATATGAAGAGAAAATTTGAAAACTAAACATTTTGATCAAAAGTAACTTCATGGATATTTTGGACATTTTTGTGCCTCTTTTTAGAGGATTCTAACAAGGGGAGTCTACTTGCAACTATGTCAGAAAGTGCATGGGAGGTGATTGCAATTACCAAACTTCAGAGGAGGTTTCAGCAATTTACCGATAAATTAAACTAAAAATGAATAAAAAAAATAACATATTTAAAACTTGAACCTATGACCATTAAGTAAAAACACAACATTCAAACTAGTTTTACAAATAGATATAATATAAATTTTAAGTATGGGAAAATCTATGATGCCAGAAAGACATAATACCAGAAAGGCTTCTACTAATCACAAGCCCCTGTGAATTTTGGTCAAAATCCACCTGATTGGTTCCTACTTTTATGATGCGGGTTGATTGGTTGTAAGTTTCACCATATCATGTCTTTCCGGCATCATAGTCTAACCCTTTAAGTATATATGAGCATATAAATCAAATTGAATGGGATTTTACTGGGTCAAATAGGAGTAAATCCATATTCGATTCAATTATAAATAAATGAAAGATGGATCACCATTTAATGGGATTGAATTCGAATTCAAAATGACTGTCATGTACATGTTTAAACATATATATAAAACCCTAAACTATGTAGAGTGCAAAACCTTGTATTTTGTATGGATTTGCACTATACGTATACGTATTTGTATTCATATTCCTTCCAAACTGGGCCTTAACGAGTACAAATGCAAATATATACAGTGCAAATACATACAAAATAATATAAAATATAAGGTTTTGCACTCTACATATTTGCATTTGTACTCCTTCCAAACTAAGCCTTAATTTTTTCCCCTAACTCTAATTTTTTACTTAATTCTCTCATCTTATTGACTGTATCCACAACACATCGCAGCTGCACATGGAGAACATCTCATCCTCCTACATAATATTATGCAGGGGAGATATTCCCAATTCATGGAGGTAGTGTGTTGTGAGTAGATGTGGACAGAATTCTCGTGGGCAGATGATCCGGCCACCTATGATGAACTCTTTTTCTTTGGTGTACAAGTCAACTTGAATTTTCTTAGTGTCAGCTAGTTCTGGCAAATCACTGTCACCTTTGTTATGGAAAATCGCTTGTGTCAATCTTCAATATGATCCACCTCTGAATAGAAAGTTCTTATCTTTAGGTGGATTAGAAACCTCCTAACAACGCCTTGTGTGGAAAAGGAGAATATATAAATACTGCAACAAATATATATATATATATATATATATATATATATATATATATATATATATGAAGGCTATTTTTACAAATGTTTCAGTGATACTATGTCAATAGGTCATGCTTGGCACAGGTTGACCTCAACCTGAAACCCAATTAGGCTGACCCAGGTCAGGTCAAGGCGGGTTTACCACTTATAGACACTGACATTCCTAACCCAAAAAAGAAAAGCCAAATTAATCCACATACAAAAAGATTAAAAAAAAAGAAGATTTCAGTGCCTGGGGATAAAATAGTCTAGGAATGACATCATCTTGCAGATCTATCTTGATGGCACAACTTCCTGGAGTCCATGTAGACCCATGGATATTGCTGTGTATTCTCTCTCTCTCTCTCTAATTTTTGCCCAAGGACTATGATAGTATCTTCTTTGCTTCCTGGATGCAACACCTTGTGCATTTTGTTGTAGCTTTCTCTCTTTTTCTTACCAAATTCTGGTTAACAACAAACAAAAGAAGAAAAATACCTAAATAGAAATTTGAAAAGCGTCATCATGGCCAGCATATTTATCTCAAAGGAAAGAATGTAAGCATGAGCATATACCTAATTACAACTTACAAGGAACAACCAAAAGGCAGTGGCTCAGGCAGTGGGTGTAATGGTTAGGTAGGAGGAAATATTTGATTGGGAGGTTTAAAGGCAGTGGCTCAGGCAGAGAGTGGGGAGTCTGAAGTTGTTGCTTTGATGAAGGGGATTCTTGTTTTCTTTTTGCTAGCTATAAAGGTGTGAGAGAGGTGGAGAGCCTGTTTCTTTTGAAGAGGTGTAATGGTCAGTGAGTGTTTGCTTACTTGGTTGGTGTTGTGTGTTGAGTGAAGGTGTTGTCTTTGCACMTTATAAGTGATAAAGATTTTTCTTTTGCTATCAAAACAAAAAATCATGGTAGGTGGCAACTTTAAGTTTCTGTAATTGCAACCAACTCGGCATTTCATGGTCCAAATCAGTCCTTACTGGAAATCCCTACAGCTTTTCTCTTAAGACCTTGAGAACACCGGTGCTATTCTGGAGACAAGTAGGCTCTATACAAGAACTTCTACTTCAGTTTTAAGTTTCAGAGAGAATGGTGCTAGTCTCATCATCATCATCTAAGCCTTGTCCCAACTATATGGGTTCAGATACATCAATCCTGTTTTGCCATTCAATTCTGTTCACTGCCATATCCATCATTCAACTGTGGAGAGAATGATACTTGACTATGACCAGAAATCAACATTGGGGCATTGCTCTGTCATGTTCCAATCCTACATATAAGCTGGAAAAAAGTTATAGCACTAAAAAGGAAAATATGGAAAGTTTTGGAAAGGTAACAGAAAGACCAAGACTGCCCTTTCAAGATAAATCAGAAGAACTGTCACCATGTATTTATTTTCAGTCGGCTCCATGGCGTGCAATTATAGCAGGACCCAGGACCATTTAGGATATTCATAGTTATTAACAAGTCTGAGCATCAGCAACACAGATCACATTCAATGAGTGGAAAGGCAGACAGTGGTAGTGGATCACCAATCCACCAAATAAGAACAAAGGTAGAAGAACAACTCACCATGGTACACCACACWGTGAATGTTGTCCTTGCTAAAGCGTTTAAACACATTGCTCTTATTCTCAGAAAAATTATTTGATACCAGCAAAGAAAGCAGTGCATTATTGTGGGCAACAATACACATAGATAAAGTGATTGCCAGGGCTAATAAGATAAATGAATGTACAAGTATGACTAGATAAGGAAAATAAAGGGAAAGTGTATGATTGCCTTGACCAAGGTGCCAAAAAATCTAAAACAAAAAAGTGTAAACCAAAAAAAAAGGATATTAGATGCAACAATAACTAATGCTTGATCGGAAATATATCTCCACAGCCAAAATCTCATATTTTCTGGTGAAGAATTTGCAAGCCCCTCTGAAGAACTGAACAGAGTTGGCATAGTTTATCAAATACCTGTCACAGTTTGAAGGATCAGTTAAAATATATTTTCAATCCAAGCATTATAACGTTCAATTTCAATAAGCAAGCAATGTGCATCAAAATTGACATAATCACTTGATCTGCTGGCTGACCTCTAATACATTGTACCCCACATGGAGCTTGATTGTTCCTTGACCACGGATCATGTGATATATTAGGCTGATATCTGATGGAAGAAAATAAATATTGTAAAGAAAGTCTTCTTGTTCAAGTTACTCAATATAGAAACTCTCATGCTTCAAAGTTCCAGGACAATGACCAACTGAATCATCATCATCATCATCCAAGCCTTATCCCAACTATATCGGGTCGGCTCAAGACTAACTGAATAAAGAAGACAATTGTAGGATTATTTTTTTTATCAAGGAACATTGGAGGGATACTATTAATGTGATCCAGAAGTTCCATTTATTCCACCTGTTTCTTGAAGAAGAATGACTCCAAGGGCCAACACAATTAAACACCCTAAATCAGATAGCTCTGCTGCATGTGGTCTCTTGAACTGCCTGCCACAAGCACTGTTAGGTTATCTTATAAGGATTAACAATAGGATCCTGTGGAGCTTACTTGCTTGGCAAGGTACAACTACTATAACACCCTTCTGATAAAATCCAAACTCTCGTTCTGCTTCTTCCAGCAGCTTAATGAATTCAGGATTGTCAAGATAGCTCAATGCAATAAAGAACTTCTTTGACTCGGCATCACCTGTTGTGAATACTGCAAAATGCCCCTCCTTCACATCTCCAATCTTGTCTTCCCGTCTGGATAGGGAAATGACACCTCTCTGCAGCTTCTTCACTGCGTGCTTGAGCCTAACTACGGTATTGGTCTCTCTAGCTCTCATTCTAACTCCTGGGGTGGTTGATGCTTCTTAGCTGATGCTTAGTGTTTTTTGGGTTACTGGGAGATTGAAACAATCTAGGACTTAAATAGATGGAGAAGAAAAAGATTTTTGATGAACAGTTTTCACCATGTGGTGATTCCTTCTCTCTGATTGACCTTCTTCTACCTTGTATGCCAGCTTGTCACAGATGATACGTCCCTCTCTTTAGGCTGTGATTGGTTGCAATGCAAATAAATTTGGCTATGGCAGTGCAAATGATTTGAGTGCAAATTCTGACCTATTTTTTTTCGAAGTGTAGTTTATTTTGTTTGGTTGCAGTACAAATGAAGTAAATTCTGACCTATCTTGTTTACCCTGTCTATCAAACAAAAAAAAAAGCAAACCTGAAAAAGGATTATTTTATGCAAACATGTGTTAATAAAAACATGATAAAAACTGACATTAAACTGCATCTTTCAAAACTTTTCCTACTTGTCAATCCCAATATCATAGATCTGATTAATGCCCACTATGTAACCCATTTCCACATATAAGAGAAAAGAGACCAGAAAATGCCTTAAACAGCAATGACCATCATATGAGATTTGGGTTCTCAATCAATGCCTTTGCTACCAAAGAACTGTCAGAAAATAAAAGGACAACTACAGTCAACGATACACAAAGTTCCATAAGTCAATGGCTACAAGATCAATCACTTCACTTGGTACTGACTTACATAGATCCCAGTGCAGTCCCTCGGATTGTGTGAGGCCTTAGAAATCTCCAACAAGCATCTTTAAACTTTGAAACTTTGTAAAGTATTGGATCAGATCCAGCAGCTCCAGCTTGACTAGAAGCCTGTCCCCCATCACTTTCTAGTCAGTATTATAAAAGTAACCTAAATTAACTTCATTTATCAAATGAACTGATTTTTCTTCAAAGAAACTCCTGACGATAAGCTGGCATACCAACTTGGAGTGAAATTACATTGATTTAGTCAATACAACTCTTAAGATCAACTGCAGCTTTCGAAACATACTCATCATAAAAGTGTCTCAATATCAAGATCACAGGCCTGAAGATTATTTTATTCCATAACAGAGCTTCTAGCCTTCTACATGTTTCTACAGTAACATCCTTCTGAACATGAGCATTATAAGTCCATACAAGATCACTTCACAGAGTACATAATTACATATATAAAAGATCCAAGTGTATCTCCTGAAACAAAAAAAAAAGAATCAGCCACTGAAAATCAATTGTTGAACCACTTCACAGAGTACGAAATTACATCTACTTCCTCTTGCAATATGTGGTCTTCTTCCTAAAGTAATTGTTGAACCACTTCTTGAGTTATCTTTGTTTTTCATAATTACATCAATTGCAGCTTGCAATATGGAGAGTCTCAATATCTGTTTTGAGAAGAGAGCCTTGTTGAATTCCTCAATTTTCTTGAAGACCAGACCTCCTTGATTTTTGGTTTTACAGATATGGTGTCATGGGATTGTGTAAACTTTTGTTTGTGTTGTTTCCTTCCCACCATAACCTCTTCTGGATTCTTTCTATTTCTTTAATTGTTTTTTCTTTCTGTAATAATGAGTGGGACATTAAGTAGGTGGGTAAGGCTTGTAACACTGTTTTCACTAGTGTAGTTCTCCGGTTCTCGCTGCTTGTGACAACAATTTTGCCTCCCAAGTAGCCAGTCTAGTGTTCATTTTATCCACAATTTCCCAATGGTTATTGTTTTGTTTACCTTGGAAAAATAACTTGGCTCCCAGATATTTTTCTTAAATCTTTATGCGTTTCATTCTGAGAATTTTGAGGAGTATTTTTTCCTTTCTTCTATGATTTCCTCTACTGAACTAAGCCCCTGCTTTTGTCAAGTTAATTTTTTCTCCCGACCAGCTTTTAAATGTTGCCAGTAATTCGTTGACCTTCCTTAACTGATCTGGTTCATCCTTACAGATTATAACACAGTCATCTGCAAATAGCAGATGTGATATTGGAGGACCATTTGTACATAATCTTATACCTTGCAGTTCCTTATTGTCTTCAACTTTCTGGAAGAGGCTAGACAGTGCTTGCATCCCTATAATGAATAGGTAAGGTGAAAGTGGATCACCTTGTCTTGTTCCATTCCTAACCTGAAAAAATTCTTTTAGGGTTCCATTTATTTTAATCGAGAACCTTGGTGTTTGAATACAAAAATTCACTATTTTGCACCATCTTTCTGGGAATCCCATTTTCTCCATCATTTTCACTAAAAAATCCCTTTGAATTCTATTATATGCCTTTGACATATCAACACCTTGCCTGCCCTTAATGAATGCAGCCTGGTTTGGAGCCATTAGTTTTTCTAGTTTTTGCTGAATCCTTAACACCAAGCATTTGGATATTATTCTGTAGACCAGATTAGTTGAGTTTATTTCGGGGGGGAATTATGCAGTTAAAAAGAATCTTTCACTACTTTATACACTTGTTCTTTAACTGTACGCCAGTATTTTTGGTTAAAAGGGGGGGGGGGAGAAACCATCTGGACCAGGAGCTGAATGGGCTTTCAGGGATTTAACTATCATGTCGATTTCTTCTTCAGTGGGGGGATGAGTACTTCATTTGCTTCCTCCTGTGTCAGTGTCTTTGGGTTTAAGTTCTGAAAGTCTACATCTGTTTCATGTTGGGAATCACTCACTTGTTTGATGTGTTGTTTGAAAGCCTCTGCAATCTCCTCCATGTCCATGAATTCCTCACTCTCCTTTTTCAGAAATTGTAGAGAATTTCTTCTCCTGTGTTTCTGTCTCCTATTAGCCAGGTTTCTCTTGACCTCAATCTCCACAGTTTTTCTTCTCAAATTTTCCATTTTTCATATTCTCTCTTCAGCAGATATCTCTTAGCTCTTGTATCTGATGTCTCCTCATTTTCCAGTTTTTGAATTTCTTCCTCAATTTGTCTCAGCCTTTCCTCAATTCTTCCAAAATTTTCCCTGTTCCATTTTTTGAATCAAAAGATGCAAGAAAATGGAATCTTATAATTAACCACGATTCAAATAAAATTAAGAACTTAGTTTGGAACAACACTATCATCACCATCTATCTGGTTTTACAGCCATCCATTGTGGACCAAATGTTTTAAGAACTGAACTTAAAAGCTAGTTGCTGGGTGACAGGTTTGGTGGTTTGAGTGACTGTTTGGGAGGACATTCAGGCTGCGGCTTTTGTCCTTGCAAGATGGGCCCTGCCGGAAAACCTGTAAGTAATGTTTGCAAAAATTGCAGAAAGCCCAAATATGCTTTCATTCAGCAACAGGAAAAGAAAGAAAAGAAAAACATATTTCTGTGGAGCTTCATTTATAGGTACCTTCTTCAAAGCAGCTCAATCAAAGCTTCAGCCTTCCCAAACTGGCTATTAACTGGATGGATTTGCTTGTTAAACTAGTCAAAACTATGAAAATCCTTGGACTCAATGGATGTGATCTGATCTGAGTCAAGGTTCAGATAAGCCCAGTCCCCAACCACCAAGAAAACACCCAGATCCAGTTCTTACCTATAAGTAATAGACCTGCTGGAATCAATTATAACATCCTACTACTACTACTACTATATCCCCATCTAAAATGATAATTTTAGACATACTATATGAAATTATATATCTTTGTTATATAATGTTAATACTTGCCTTGGCTTCAAGTCCAGATCACCAAGCAATAGTTTTAGTCCATATATTTTTCTCTCTCCCCACTTTTCTCATCTCTCTTCTCTTTTGCAAGTGCCAGTCAACTAGTATATAGTACAATTCTGGTATTAATAAGTCAGAATAATTAAATCCAACCCAACGTTGGGTGGCTTAAGAAGAAGGGTTGACTGCCCTGCTGAAATCTTCACTGTAGTTCAAGATTGCATGAGCTTAGCGAGCTTTGCAAATGTATCCTTTTCTTTTGTCAAATGATCAGCAAATAGAGTGGCACTGCGGCTGCTCAAAGGGGCCTTTGTGGGTCTGAGCTCTGGTTGGACGCTGCCTGACGCAGCGTGGAAGCAATGAGAACCGGAGCTGGCGATGCAAGCACTGGGCGTTCGCTAGCACCTAGCGAAAAACACCGATTTCTCTAGGAGAGAGAAAAGGTGGCGAAAATAGGAAGAAGAGAACTTGAAGAAATT